TCGTATGTGACCATGTGCCAAAGCTGTTTGAGTAGTAGTTACTGAGGAATGGAACTCATTTTTACTGGTAAAGAGGCATTCCATTTTAGTCCCTAAAGGTGATAACGCATCTGCATTTTGATTCTTAATCGAAGTTAAATGTGTCTTTGGATCACAGCACTCACCATAAACAAAATCGGACAACTGTAAAAAGGATTCGCGGCCTTGAGGTTTACGTATAAATTGTTCTCACAAAAAGCGTTGCATTGAAAAAAAATCCCCCATACATCGGTTTAGATTACGGTCGATGGTATAAAGTTTGTAAAAGGAAACAATTTTTTTTAAATATATTCTATCTGATAAAATAGGTAAGATATCATTTTAATGACGAACTCGACGATAAATGATCGGTAAGCTTTATTTGTCGTGAAATATTTTATGTCGATGTTAGGCCCCATAATTTAAAATTAAAAATTTTGTACAGCCGACTTCAATATAAGTTATTAAGAATAACTCAAATAACTCAAAAACTATTGGTCTGACCTTGCTTTGAAATACATATGGGACCACACGAGAACTATCAGCTTTCATATAAAAAAGAATCATCGAAATCGGTCCACCCAGTAAAAAGTTATGAGGTAACACACATTAAAAAAAAACATACGCGTCGAATTGAGTACCGTCTCCTTTTTGGAAGTCGGCAGATAAAATACAATAATTTTTATTCAATATTGATTACAAGTAATTCTTATTGAGATATTTTTTTCTTTACCACTGGTTCGAAAAAAAACCTCTGACCTGGGAAGAACCAGCAAGAAACCCAGTGGAACTTTTTTTTTAATAAATTTTACAATACAAATGATTACAAACTATTTACAAAATTTCTTTTCGAAACAGCTTGGAAGCGACCAACTCATTCCTAGGGGTTATTATGAACAATGTATTCATTTATATTATAATAACGCTTTTTAATTTTATACAGTTTTTGTTTAATTAAATATTTAAACTTGGTAATAGAGATACCTTGTATATTTTCTGGGACTTTGTTGTAATAGCGTACTTGCGGTACTTCTGATGGTAAGTGGGTACTGCAGTCTATGAACACTAGCAACCAGCTTCAAAGATGCAAGGCTACAATTGCGTAGTCACCTATGTCGACCAAGATGTAATACCTCACATCCTGTAATTGCAATAACTGGCTCTTTGTACTAACTTGCAATCAGTATTTTGGTACTTAATCGGAAATAGACTTAGGTTTCTATGGGCCACAGCATTAGTTTACCATTAGGTGGACTGTGAAATCGTTTGTCATCCTAAACTATCATTTCAGCTGTGGAATATAGCCCTCCTGAGTCCTGAGCTTACTACACCAATTATTTTTTGTTTTCTTGTACAAACGTTACCCCTTGCCCCAAGAATGAATTACTGACTCTGTGGAGTCGAGAGACTGGTTTCACTAGCTTGTTTCCTAGTGTTTACAGAGTGTATATCACTTTTTTTGCTAAAACTATCTTTGTATTTGTAAAAATAAGTTAAATTTTCATAAATATACTGAGAGGCCAAAGTTAATATATTTATTTCTTATTAATATATTTTTATTATTTATTTATTATTAATATATTTTTCTACGTGGTAGAGCCATGCTGCAGCTATATTAGTTGTATAGTTGTAGCACGAACGGGTCAGCTCGACCGGGGAAGGACCACGCTCTTACAGAATACCAGCGTAAAATGGCAGCTTGACACTGCTGTGTTTCGTATGGTGAGTGTAGAGAACTGGAGACCCATTTACTGGAAAAGAGGCATTCCATCTTAGTCCTCACGGGTAACGACGCATATGCAAGATGATCTGCAAGAATCAAAATATTCTTTATTGAGGATAAATGTAGATGTCTATGGGTCACTGCAACCACTTACCATCGGATGGACTGTATGCTCGTTTGTTACCCTTATTTTATAAAAAAAAATTCTTAATATCTTTCTTTAGAGAAAAATTGATTAATTGAACTTGAAAAATTCATTAAGAGAGACTCTCTCGGTTTATGTCCATGGCCTCTTATCTTAATAACTGGTTATTACTAACTTTTGTTTATTCCTAGTAATTACAGAACGTACCTACACATCACTATTTTTAGTAAAAGTATTTTTATTTTTCTCTACGTTCATTAAATTTTCTTAAATATATTGAGAAGTGAAAGTTAATATATTGGTTTCTTTAAATTTTCTTCTAATGGACTTTTTTGGATTTTTACTTAAAAATTAATAATTTTGTACAACCGACTTCAATATAAATTATTAATAATAACTCCAAAACTTTGGTCAGATCATGATCAAATTTATATGGGACCACATGAGAAGCACCAGCTTTGAAATAAAAAAAGAATCATCGAAATCGGTTCAACCAGAAAAGTTATGACGTAACACACATAAAAAAATATACAGTCGAATTGAGTACCTCCTCCTTTTTGAAGTCGGTAGAAAAGTAAAAATCATAGGTTTCCGTATAGATTGTCTCTTAAAGGGGGTGGGGGGTAAGGTTTCTGGCATAGTTGCAACGCTTCGCAAGCCGATTGACAATCGCAGTTTTGCATGCCTCACAACGCGCGAGCGTGTGGCAGTGTTCTACTCTCGACATGCCGCTATGTGACAATTTTGCAATATAAAATAGTTTGGAAAATCCAAAAGTGCACGCCTCATGAGTGTTCATTTAATTCTGATGAAAAACTGACTGACTTTTAAAATATATTATTTACGTTTTTAAATCTTGCGCTCTATTATTTTAACAGGTAGTGTCACCTATAGGGAAATAATTAATAATGTTCACCAAAATAAATCGATTACACAAAGTATAAAATCGATATATTATGCTGTTTGGTACATTTGCCCTTTGTCTTTCAAGGGCTAAAAAATATTAAAGCGCCTTGAAATTTTTAATAGCAATAAAACCAGAAAATCATTTATTAACAAACTACGCGCTATTGATATGAAATAGGGAACTAGTAGATGTAATTCTGAAGCTAATAAAAAAACCGGCGTCGATACGTCAATTTTTTCGGAAGTTATCGTGACCACATACAAAATCAACATCCGTACGTCCACGTCATTTTTTTTTCAAACCGTTTCTTTTTCAAAGTAGCAATGTTAAATAATTTTTTAGAAAATATAAAATGGATTAATTCGAGTGTTTTTTTTTATATACGGCTACTCATATTACTGTTTAAGTGCAATATAGTTATGATAGAAGCATTTTAAGAACACAAAGTTGCTAGACCTTGACGTGTTAAAAGTAATGCACTACCTAATAACGGTTTGCGTTATGGGGCGTGCAATTGTTAGTATGTCTCAACTGACACTAAATCAATAAAAAGGGGATGTTTTGAAAACTATAAAGTCAGCTTTTTTTATTCATTTGTTTAGTTATATTTACAAAAAAATTAATGAACAATTATTAGTATGGCTGTCAGTTAGTCTGTGGACATGTTTCTCTTCACGTTTCAGAAAAATAATACACAACGAAATGAAATAAATCTCTCTGAATAAGTTTCCATTTATCCTCAGGATGATCCCTAGTGCTGGTTATTAGACTTATAAACGTTTAAAACATAGTCTTTTTCATCAAAATTAAATGAAGTTTTCATTTAAAAAAGTAAAAATGTTCATGTGGCGTGCACTTTTATCCAATTTTATAATTTTGATGGGGTAGTGGATATTCTTTTACCGCCACATTTATGATTGTTGCAGCAAAGGAATGTAATAATTTGCCAGCATCTGTCTTGCTCCGCAAGGTCTTGAAATTTTTACACTGCAAAAATCACAGGAAAATCTTTCTGCAAAAATCACCGGTGGTAGCCGATTACCTAAAAAAATTGTGCGAGAAAGAAAACTTCTGGTCACTCAACAATAACTCGCCCAGTGGTTAACCGCCAATCATGATATGGATGGTATCGCGTGTTTTGTCGTGTTGTGCGATGGCGGAATTTGGCGGCTTTGAATTTCTCTTAGCACTTGCCGTGGTAAATGCGATAGAAAATGCAAAGGGATGCAACATCTCTTCGCAGCGCCAGTGAATTGAGTAATGATAAAGAACTGGGTCGTAGACTATTCGGGCCGCTCTTCACTGGATGTGGACAAGTGGAAGAAATTGGCACTAGGGTGCCAAACTTGGTTTGTGTTAAATTATAGCAAAATAGAACATTTTAATATGGCTTTATTAAAATTAAGTTTCTTACAAATATAATATATTTTACTATAGGAACAATAATAACATTGTATAAAATTTCAAAAAAGCAACAGCTTTTTACTTAAAAAAAAAACCAACAGCTTACAGATAAATGTTCTAAAACTTTCTATCTAGTACAAAAATATTTACGTTATTGCCAAGTACACCTATTTCTTAAATAGAAACATCTGCAAGGTTTCTGTAAACCGGGAGAATAACATTTTATATGCCTTGAACTGATCTTGAAAAAAAAGGTAAAAAAAACTTAAGGTAACAATATAAAATATAAACATAACACTATTTATTAAATATGAACTATTTTTTAAAATATTTTATTTTTATAAACAATCAACAAATATATTTTTAAACAAAATATAAATGAGCAATAGCTAGACCATTATATGTATATGTAATAATAATTGTAAAATGTCATCTCGTAGCTTTCCTAATAATGACTAAAAATAAGAAAAAAACAACTGCGGTTACTAACTTATGGCAAATATATCTCTACTATGAAGCAATCTATGGGAGAGGCCTATGTTCAGCAGTGAACTTTAAGAGGCTGTAACAGTAAAATTTTACCTTCTTGAATTTTTATAAAATTTATTTCAAAATGCTCTGCTTCTCCATTCTATTCTTCTATCTTTCAATAATTGTGATAAAATAACGCTGTAATATTGTTTTTAAATTTAAAAACAAAAATTAATACGACTATATTAATCATAACGCAAATTATTTATAATAAAACGAATCTTAAATCATTGTAAGTGTTGATGCTTATTAATAAATATTTTAATCATTCGTCACACATTGCAAATAGCCTGATATGCTTCCAAATGGTTTCCTGGTGATGGTGTTAGGGTTAACTGTCGACTTGCCTTCAGGAACAATGCCACCCCAGGTCTGACTCGCACTGGTTCAGTATCACATGCCTCACCCTCACCAGATATGAAAATTATAAGGCTTGGACTAGCGCGAATAATTGTGTTGTATGAATCGTCACTTTGCACCTGTAATTAATAATTTTTATTAAAACGTTCCAAAATTAGCAAGTCCACCCGCATTCGGTACACTATATAGAACAATTTTATTACATTATCTATATCTATATGTATAAGTATTATATATAGTTGGCAATTACACACTTTTTATATGGTAATGTTTTAGTAGTAGTAGTATGTTTTAGTTTTATCATTTCCTACGATGTGCATTAGATAGAGGTACCTAGATGATGTGTAATTTTTGAAATATTTCAGTCATTAAACATATTGACGGGTGAAAGGCACACTGGTTTAAGGGACATTTTTAAAATTTTATAGGCGAGCAATTAAATTAAACGATTTTTAGTAAAATATTTTTTAACAAGATCCGATTGGTTATTTTTAGAGAATAGTAGATAGTAGTATAATAGTAGATAGATATTTTTCATTTTGAAGATGCGTCGAATTCGCAGTAATAAGAACAGTGAAAATATAATATTTGCAAAACGTAAGTGTTGCTTGGTACAAAGTAAACTTTTTTTAGGAAAAATGATTCAATCATCTCAGTTTCAGTTACTGGGTGCAAGCAAAAGGAATCACTTGTTTTAATAACTGTTGTTTATGAGTGCGGCTAACATGTGCAAAAGCAAAGTTAAAGACAGGTTTGTCTATGCATAAATTATAGATATTTCTATGTGGTTGAGCCATGCTGCAGCTATATTATGGTTGTAGCACGAATGGGTCAGCTCGACCGGGGAAGGACTACGCTCTCACAGAAAACCCAGCGTAAAATAGCAGCTTAACGCTGCTGTGTTTCGTATGGTGAGTGTAGAGAACCGGAGACCCTTTTTACTGGCCAAGAGGCATTCCATCTTAGTCCTCACGGGTGACAACGCATCTGCATCTTGAGTCTTTATTGAGGATAGATGTAGATGTCTATGGGTCACAGTAACCACTTACCATCAGGTGGACTGTGTGCTCGTTTGTCACCCGATCCTATAAAAAAAAAGATAATAAGAGAAAATTTATAATGAAACACAGACTGATTCATTGTTGCATCATCCATTGCTGCTAGTGTATCTTGTCGGTCTTGCCTTTTAAGTTTCATTTAAAATATAATTTTCAGATAGATTATCAAAAATTTCTAAGGCTTCCTATGTTTATTTATTTAAACTTTTATGCACAAAAGAAAAATCGTACATATGGCGGACTTAATGCCTTAAGGCATTCTCTCCCAGTTAAATTCGTTTCATAAGGTGCCAGTTGCAAGGAAAAGCTTAAGGGACATACTTTATTAGTGTTACGCGCCACTATTAATGTCTTGTACATGGCAACACTAGTTACACTAGCGCCCCCTAGTGTCGAGTAAATGAAAGTATTGCGCGCCACTATTAATGTCTTGTACATGGCAACACTAGTCACACTAGCGCCCTCTAGTGTCGAATAGCAGAACTAGGAGAGTCGAGATCCTTCCAGAAATTTCGGGACCGATATGTACTCGAACATTCTAGATGTCGCTACAGTAGAAGGTTCTGGAAACTATCTGTAGCCCTATATAAGACCGGTATAGACCACGACCGGGGCAGTATTGAATTGGCGATACAAGAGAATACTCCGAAGCGAAATAACGGCGAACTGTGTTTTATTATTAGTGTGATTTTAGATTGTAATTAGTGTTGTGTAATTAAAGTGTCAATTTTGGTAATTCAATCGGCAGTTTTTAATTGTCTCGAATCCCAAGCTCGTAACAATTGGTGTCAGAAGTGGGATCAAATATGCCGATTTTACCTAAAGACGACACGGAGGGTATCCGTCCCAGAAGTCAACGACAACAGGAGACTGACCAGAGACGATTTGGTAATGCAACGCCGCAAACGTCGGAGGGCCAGTTGCTAACCACGGAGGCTGGCCCGTCAGCAGCTCCTGCATCTGCAGCACCTGACTTAGGTGCTCTGATAATGATGCTGCAGGATCATGCTCGCCGACAGGAGGAACAGGCCCGCCGACAGGAGGAACAGGCCCGCCGGCTGGAAGAGCAGCTGCAGCGCGGTATGGAAGAACAGATGCTCCTCAGGAAGGACCTTCACGCTACCTTCGGGAAAGAGATAAAGGAGGTGAAGGATAGGGTTGCTCAACATGACAACCGCCTGTCGGAAGCTGAAACCCGAATCGACCAAGTGAACAATCGGGTTGACAACGTGATGGCTGATGTGAAGAAAACGCTGGACGACCTCAAACTTGGGGATGGAGTTACAGCTCCCGTGGTAGCTACAACACCTTCGCTACGTGGATTCAAAGTGCCACCGTTCGACGGGACTTCTTCCTGGTCGGCCTATAAAATCCAGTTCGAGGCTGTCATGAAAGCGAACGGCTGGAATAAAAGTCAGGCCATGACTGCTCTCACCCTAGGCCTGCGCGACCAGGCATTAACTGTTCTGGAAGCTCTCGGTAAGGAATTGACTTACGAGCAGCTCCTTGAGGCATTGGAGGCGAGATATGGCGACGCTCACCTGGAACACGTCTTTCGTGCGCAGCTCAAAGATCGCGTGCAACGCAGTAACGAAAACCTGCAGCAGTGGGCCCTTGAGGTGGAGAAGCTGGTTCGAAAAGCGTACCAGTCTGTACCTGCGCTCATTGTAGGGAACCTGGTGCAGACATTCATCGACGGCATCCGCGACCTTGAAGTCAGAGCTGCTGTGAGGCTCGGGCACCACGAGACGCTTAAGGACGCCTTGACCCATGCACTGGAGGTGGAAGCCGTGCGGCAGGATCATCGTTCCCACCGCGTCAGGGAGGTTGCAGCAGCTACAGTTCAGGACCGCAATAAGGGCTACAGCCCTAGGTGCTACGGCTGTGGGGAAAGGGGCCATCTTCGATCCAGCTGCCCTAAACGAACTGTAGAAAGGGAAGGTGATCGATATCGAGAGGGTAGTGTGGCTGACAGCACCGCCCAGCAACAGCAGGGAAACTGGCGGGTGCTGGCTGATGTTAAAAGAGCCCCAAGGATTTCGATCTCACAAACCCATGATGGGAACAGCCTAATCATCAAGGGCGAAGTCAACGGAACGCCGTGTAAACTGACCATAGACACTGGAGCCTCTCGCACGGTTGTCAGTTCCCAACTTATAAGTCGGTTCCTTGGGGACTCCGCATACAACCGAGAACGCATTAATTTGGTGACAGCCACCGGTCAGCGCATACCCGTCCGTGGAGAGAAGGAGATGGAGTTGAAGCTAGGCAACATGATCTACCTGCATAATGTCATTGTGGCTGATATAATGGACGACTGCATCCTGGGCCTAGACTTTATGAGGAAGAATTGTTGTGAGATCGACGTTAAGCAAGGTGTTTTGAAATGTGGACAAGAGGAACTTTTCGTGGAAGGGGCGTTACCAGGGAATGTGTACAGCCTTAAGAAGATTGTTCTTCCGCCGAGATCGGAAACGATTGTGCCGGTTAGACTTCCACGGAATCCTGGGCAAACTCTTCGTTGTGTACTCGTGGAAAGGGTAGACAATGACCTTCCATGGAAAGTGGCTCGAACCTTGGTCAGAACCGCCGACATCTCAGGAGTACGTGTGCTGAACCTTTGTGATCAGGAACAGATTATAGAAAAAGGCACATTGGTTGGTACTAGTGAGGAAGTGGATTGGTTGCGTCGGTGCGAATATCTATCTACTGGGACCCCCAGCAAGGATGGACAAACTAGAGTGACCACACTTTTAGAAGACTGTCGCAGCGTTCTCTCCCCGAATGAAACGGTCAAAGCGAAGAAGTTGTTACTCAAGTACGCCAATGTTTTCTCGTCAAACGAAGCTGACATAGGAAAGACTAGCTTAGTTCAACACAAAATAAACACAGGACAAGAATTGCCTATTCGTCAGCGGCCAAGAAGATTGCCTGTAGCACGTGAAAAGGAAGTGGAAACCATGATTGAGGGAATGGTGAAGGATGGTGTTATTGAACCTTCATCTAGTCCATGGTGTTCACCTGTGGTGCTGGTAAAGAAGAAGGACGGCAGCATGCGGTTTTGTGTTGACTACCGCCGCCTGAACGACGTTACAAAGAAGGACAGCTATCCCTTGCCAAGAATTGATGACACGCTGGACATGCTTACAGGCGTAAAGTGGTTTAGTACGCTGGATCTGAAAAGTGGCTACTGGCAGGTTGAAATTGACCCTAAGGACAAGGAGAAAACTGCATTCTCCACAGGAAAGGGCCTGTGGCAATTTAAAGTCATGCCGTTTGGATTGTGCAATGCTCCAGCAACGTTTGAAAGGTTGATGGAGCTTGTACTTACCGGGCTAATTGGAGATGCCTGTCTCGTCTATTTGGATGACATCATCATCGTAGGCCGTACGTTTGAGGAACACCTTCAAAACCTGGAACGCGTGCTCATGAAGATCCAGAGTGCCAACCTCAAGTTGAGTCCAAAGAAGTGCTCACTATTCAAACGGCAAGTTAGTTTTTTGGGGTATGTAGTGTCGGAAGAAGGTATCCGCACGGATCCAGAGAAAATTGCTGCTGTCAAGGAGTGGCCGGTCCCAAAAGACAAGACACAGGTTAGAGCATTTTTGGGTTTGTGCTCTTATTATCGGCGATTTGTGAAGAACTTTGCAGATATAGCCAAACCTCTGCACAAGCTAACCGAGGAGAAGCGACAATTCTGCTGGGATGAAAGTTGCGATATTGCATTCCAGGAGCTCAAGAACCGTCTGTGCAAAACACCTATTTTGGGGTATCCTGATGCGGGCAAGGAATTCATAGTTGACACAGACGCAAGTGATATAGGACTTGGCGGTGTGTTGTCTCAACGGAATGGTGATCAAGAGATTGTGATAGCGTACTTCAGCAAGTCGTTGTCAAAGCCGGAAAGGAACTATTGTGTCACAAGACGGGAATTGCTTGCTGTGGTAAAGTCCTTGCAGCATTTTAGCAAATATCTTCTAGGGCGGAAATTCCACTTACGAACTGACCATGCTGCACTGAAATGGCTATTGCAGTTCAAAAATCCGGAAGGACAAGTTGCGAGATGGATAGAACTACTGCAGGAATACGACTTTGTGATCGAACATCGCAGCGGGAAATCTCATGGCAATGCAGATGCATTGTCAAGAAGACCTTGCCCTGAAGATTGCAAGCATTGTACTAGGCAAGAGGGTAAGGAAGTGGTATCTGTGAGAATGCTCAGGACAGACCAGCTCAGCAATGAGTGGAAGGACAGCCTACAACATGCACAGCAGGAAGATTCGGACATTATGCCGATTCTGGAATGGATGAAGGCCAGTGCTCCTAAGCCCAAGTGGAGCGACGTCTCAGCAATGAGTTCGACCACGAAAAGCTATTGGGCCCAATGGGACAGCTTGCTGATTCAGGATGGAGTCCTGTGCCGTAAATGGGAAAATGGTCGGGGAGACAGGTGTCATTTGCAAATGGTTGTCCCTAAGGCTAAAGTGCCGGATATTCTACAGCTGTACCATAGTGGTTGTTCAGGAGGCCACCTGGGAGTTAAACGAACTCTCCTGAAGATCCGAGAACGGTTTTACTGGGTCCACTGTCGTGACGATGTCGAGGGCTGGTGCCGCAAATGTACAAGTTGTGCGGCTGTAAAGGGACCTCAAATTCGTAGTAGAGGCGCATTGAAATTGTACAATGTTGGTGCACCATGGGAGAGGATAGCCATTGACGTTGCGGGGCCGTTTCCAGAAACTGAAAGTGGTAACAAGTATTTCATGGTAGTGATGGATTACTTCACTAAGTGGCCAGAAGTCTTCGCCATTCCAAATCAAGAAGCTTCAACAGTTGCAGATAAACTAGTTCATGAAGTCTTCTGTCGTTTTGGAGTACCCTTAGAGATTCACAGCGATCAAGGAAGGAATTTTGAGTCTCAAATATTCCAGGAAACTTGCCGAGTTATGGGTACTCAGAAAACACGAACAACTTCTTACCACCCACAATCTGATGGAATGGTAGAAAGATTTAATCAGACATTGGAGAGGTACCTAGCAAAAGTTGTGGAAAAACGGCAACGAGACTGGGACAGGCACATACAACCGTTTTTGTTGTCATATCGAAGCGCTGTTCACGAAAGTACATCAGTGACACCAGCTTTCGCAAACTTTGGGAGAGAATTGCGGCTGCCTGCAGACCTGATCACCGGAATACCACCTGATGCCCCACGCAGTATAACCGATTATGCAAATGACTTGCGGAACAAAATGAATGACATTTATGAGCACGTCAGACAGACGGGCCAGCAAACGTCTGAGAAGATGAAAACACGGTATGACCGCAAAATGAACAACAAGGGCTTTGATGAAGGTTCACTAGTGTGGTTACACAATCCAGTTCGCAGCAAAGGGAAATCTCCTAAGCTTCAAGCTAAATGGGACGGACCGTACCGGATTGTGACAAGGATCAATGATGTAACCTACCGGATACAGAAAGGTGCCAGAGGTACTCCTAAGATTGTCCATGTGGATCGACTGGCGCGTTATTATGGGGCCAATAATGCTCGGGACGAGCATGTCTTAGGAGGGGGCAGTGTTACGCGCCACTATTAATGTCTTGTACATGGCAACACTAGTTACACTAGCGCCCCCTAGTGTCGAGTAAATGAAAGTATTGCGCGCCACTATTAATGTCTTGTACATGGCAACACTAGTCACACTAGCGCCCTCTAGTGTCGAGTAGCAGAACTAGGAGAGTCGAGATCCTTCCAGAAATTTCGGGACCGATATGTACTCGAACATTCTAGATGTCGCTACAGTAGAAGGTTCTGGAAACTATCTGTAGCCCTATATAAGACCGGTATAGACCACGACCGGGGCAGTATTGAATTGGCGATACAAGAGAATACTCCGAAGCGAAATAACGGCGAACTGTGTTTTATTATTAGTGTGATTTTAGATTGTAATTAGTGTTGTGTAATTAAAGTGTCAATTTTGGTAATTCAATCGGCAGTTTTTAATTGTCTCGAATCCCAAGCTCGTAACATTAGTTTTAGATGCAGACTAAGTGTTTTAAAGGACATTGTAAATAAATATAGCAACCTTATACAATCATAAACACTTCCAAAAAAATTGGATCAAAACTTTATCTAGTTCAAATCAACTTTCACTAAAATTTGTATTACTCTATGGTGCTTAGTTCATCTTTTTTTTTTAACTTTCCAGGAATGTTGACTGGTTTAAGAGTAAAAAGTGTTCAGATTTCAATAAGGCAGTGGGTGCAGAAAAATTTGCTGATTAGAAATATATGTATATGATTTATGTCAACATCGCCTAGAATGTTGCTTAAACCATTTTGTGTTTCAGCCGTGGATATTTATATTTAAACAGAAAAATTAAGAAATAATGGTCTTCTTTAACCTTTGTCTCATTTAAAAAATAAACTTACTTTTATTTTTACAACGGCAAAATCAGGCACTGGTGGTCTCCAAATGCAGCAATTCTCATCCTCTATTTCAGGATTGAATAACAAGTCCCCTGGGGTATAGCTAGTGTAATCCAACATATCAATAAGAGTTGGCACATCAATATGTTTTGGAGTAAGACCTGCGCGGACTACGTTGTCTGAACATGCCATACACTCAACGCAATCTGCAAACAAAAATTATGTTATAATTACTATCTGACCTGGCAGTTGTTGTTCTGCCCTGACGCGATGCACACATTTTTAAAGACTTATTATATACAGCATATATATATTATATATATGAACAGCTTATACCTTTCGACTAATAGGACTAAAAGCATTATAACAATAAACTTTAAAAAATGGAATAATTTAACACTTCTTTTTTTAGCCTTCCGAAGTTTGATAAAAAGTGCCTATATGTTATGCACAAACCTTTACTGCCTACGAGTACATATCAAATTTTATGAAAATCTGTCCAGTAGTTTCTGTGCGAAACACAAAACATAATAATATTAGTGTACATTTTAACTTTACCAAAAATCTTTATTCCATCCATTTTACTCAGGTATATTTTTCAGAGTAGACAAATTTTAAACTTAAGTTCAATTATATAAATAATAATATACAGTTATTGCAGTTTTTGAAAATACGAGTAAATAAGACTTGTGTAATTGAATGTCATTTATGGGCAGCAACGGTTTTGCCTACCGATCGACCCTTACGAAAGTATTTGTGCGCAGTAAAATCAGTTAAAATAATGTATTACCACGCATTTAAAATTTAAAAGAAAAAAAGGACAGAATATTTGAGATTTTTTTAATTAATTTTTCTTCACCAATTGCTTTTATTACTTATTCTGTACCTTCTCTGTAAATTTGTCCGGTTATTGCAAAATAACCCTATATTATAAAAGATGGATTAAGATATTGTTGTTGTTATGATAGTGATGTACTTTTATCATTCACATAAAAGCTTTATATGTATAAAATATATTCATCTTAAGTAACAATGCTGTTTATAATGCAACTTTTTAACAGTGATAGAGCCACGCGGCAGCTTTTGCTGTCGCACGAATGGGTCGGCTCGAACCGGGGTAGTACCACGACCTCTCAGAAAACTAGCGTGAAGTAGAGGTTTACCTCTGCGTTTCGCTTGGTGAGTGCAGGTGGCCGGAGGCCCTTTTTACTGGAAATGAGGCATTCCATCTTAGTCCTCACGGGTGACAACGCATCTACATTTTGATTTGTAACAGAGAATGGATGTAGATGTCTATGGGCCGCAGCAACCACTTACCATCAGGTGGACTATGTGCTCATTTGTCACCCTTATCCTATAAAATAAAACTTGTTTTAAAAGCAAAAAAGCATTAAACATTTTACTGGCAATTATTTTATGTGAATTATAATTAAATATGGTTTATAATTAAAATATTTTAACTATATCTCCAATTCTGTAAGTAGTTCAGACATTATTATAATACAAAGGTGAAAAGTTCACTTTCTCTCTGTCCTCTTAATCAAAAGTTCAGAAAGTAATTTTTGTCGTTGTGAAGACTTCCTTATACAGAAGAGATAACTCTGTACAAAATCCAATTATAAATTTAATATCTCATTTAAACCCAGTAGAAATGATAAGCTAGAGAGCATAGCGTATTTGAATCAAATGTATGTCATTTTCTGAAGACAATGTTGATGTTACTTACTATACCTTTGACAATAACAGCAGCCCTGTGCTAGAATGGAATGATTTTTTATTCAATATTGATTATTACATAATTCTTATTGAAAGTCATTTTTTATTTACCACTGGTTCGGAAAATACCTCTGTCCTGGGAAGAACCAGCAAAAAAACCAGCGGGACTTTTTTTTCAAACATATTTAACTTAACAATAATTTTGTTTATACAATTTTTAAATGAATTTTCATAAAACCAGCATGGTGGCGATCACCTTATTCCCAGGGGCTATTTTCATTCATATACTCCTAGATATTATAATAACCCTTTATGTACAGTTTTTCTTTAATAAAACTATGCTATGCTATGCTAATTTAAGAAGCTGAAATATGAGAATCACATTACATTATTTATTACATAATGAATGAATGATTGTTTACCTCCACTTAAATAAGCATGTGGTAAGTTAGGCTTGAGGAAGATAGCTTGTCCCGGATGAAGCTGCATAAGATTCATGAAATAAGGTGCATAGCAGCCTACATCGCCAGGAAACTCTCCATGAAGTTTTTGCAATGTATTGTACAGCAAAACAGATTGTAGTGATACATCTGAAAACATATACATAAAAACCTTTACGGTATTACTCCAATAAAACAAAAACTACTTCAATTATTGTATTGATATATAAAACAGTCAGCACACTTTGGGGAAAATCTCTGTTGAACTGCACCTTTGATATTGTTTTATTTATAGAACGGGTGCCTCTATAGGTCCCATAGCGGTAATGCCGACACAGACCGACTCATCGACCACGTCCAAATGGCTGCAGACTCCGTGCTACAATAGGTCCAATCCGCAGAGATCGTGATACTCGGTGATTTTAACGCCCACCACGCTGAATGGCTTGGTTCCCGTTTAACCGATCATGCGGGTAGATCTTAAACAAAATAGATCTTAAATACTGTCCGCTCAGCAGAGCGGGACAATATTTCATGCCGGCGCACCGCCTGCAACTTTACAAGGCGCAGGATCGGCCTCACATGGAATACTGTTCCCATCTCCGGGCAGGAGCTCCCCAGTGCCAGCTCCTTCCACTTGACCGCATCCAGCGCAGAGCGGCTCGAATAGTCGACGACCGAGTTCTTTCCGATCGGCTCGACTCATTGGCACTGCGAAGAGATGTTGCATCTCTTTGCATTTTCTTTCGCATCTACCATGGGGAGTGCTCTGAGGAATTGTTTGGATTAATCCCAGCCGCCAAATTTCACGAACGCACATCGCGGCAGAACTCCCGATACCATCCACACCATCTGGATGATTGGCGGTCCACCACTGTGCGATTTAGAAGATGTTTTCTTCCTCGCACGACTTCCTTGTGGAATCGATTACCATCAGCGATTTTTCCGGACCGATACGACTTAGGGACCTTCAAGAAAAGAGCGTACTCCTTTTTAAAAGGCCGGCAACGCATCTGCAATTCCCTATCTGGTGTTGCAGTTGTTCATGGGGGGCGGTAGTCACTTACCATCAGGTGAGCCGCATGCTCGTTTGCCCCCTCTCCTATAAAAAAAATCTGTCTATGACTTTGCCTTGGCATATGGTCTAACACAACTGGTTACTTAACCTACGCGGATCCCAGATCTGGAGGATCATGTACCTTCCCTGTTGGACCTTCTGCTGACCTCTCATCCTGACGGATATCAAGTCTCTGTCGCTGCCCCTCTGGGCTCTTCGGACCACTGTCTGATCCGGAGTACAGTGCCACTCACGCTCCCATCGCAGTTGCGATCTGCAGCTTGTCGCCGTGTTTGGCACTATAGGTCGGCCGATTGGGACGGGATGCGGTCTTTTTTTGCAACCTACCCTTGGGCGAGGGTTTGCTTCTCGCCGGAAGATCCCAGCGTTGTTGCCGATTCTGTTGCTGATGTGGTACTTCAGGGTATGGAACTTTTTATTCCATCCTCTGTGGTGACCATCGGAGTCAGATCCCAGCCATGGTTTGGTCGCTCCTGTAAAAATAGCATCACGCTATAAGCAGGAGTGCTACCGGACCTGGGCTGACGCATCAACGTCTCGGGATGTAAACACCAGCGCACTTAAAAAGAAGTATAATTCCGCCTCCAGGTCCTTCAAAAGCGTCATTGCCCAGGCAAGGTCTGATCACATCGGCAGAATTGGCGAGAAGCTAGTTCGCCTTCCTTCGGGAACCCGTGCATTCTGGTCTCTCGCCAAGGCTGTCCAAGGGAACTTCTGTCAGCCATCTCTTCCATCTCTGGACAGAGAGTACGACTCACAGGCCCATGCCGCAAAGGAGATAGCCGATCTTCTAAGCTATCGCCGACCATTCCGCGGTGTGAGTGCTCCATGCCGGATGTATCGCACATCCGCTCATATACATACACAGCGCTCGTTTCGTAAAGCACTCTTCTCCCTGGACGTCAGCAAGTCGAGTGGGCCTGATGGAGTCCCTCCCATTGTGCTAAAGACGTGTGCTCCGGAGTTGGCACCGGTTTTAACGCGTCTTTTCCGGTACTCCAACTCCCAAGGCGTAGTCCCAAATTCATGGAAGACAGCTTTGGTCCACCCGATCCCTAAAAAAGGCGACCGCTCAGAGCCGTCCAACTACAGGCCTATCGCCATAACCTCCTTGTTCTCCAAAATAATGGAATCCATTATAAACTGCCAGCTCATGAAGTACCTTGAGGATCACCAGCTGATTAGTGACCGCCAGTACGGTTTTCGTCCGGGTCGATCAGCTGGTGATCTTCTGGTCTACCTGACTCATAGATGGGCCGAGGCAGTAGAGTCCAAGGGGGAGGCATTGGCCGTTAGTTTGGACATAACGAAGGCATTCGATCAGGTCTGGCACAAAGCGCTTCTTTCGAAGCTTCCTTCCTATGGGCTTCCCGAGAAATTGTGCAAATGGATCACCAGATTCCTTGCTGATCGGAGCATCAAGGTCGTAGTAGACGGTGCATGCTCTGATTTCAAGCCATTCAACGCTGGTGTTCCACAAGACTGCGTGCTATCACCAACGCTGTTTCTCCTGCATATCAATGAAATGTTGCAAACTAGTAACATTCATTGCTATGCAGACGACAGAACTGGTGATGCCTTATATACCGGTCGTGGCAATATTTCTCGGGAAAACGTCGCCGAGTACCGGGACAAACTTGTGTCTGAAGTCGAGTCTTTGCTGAACAAAGTCTCGGATTGGGGGCGACTAAATCTAGTCCTTCATCATCAAAATCCTTTCATCTTATAACAAATGTTTAACCAGCACCATAGACATTAAAATATTTATAATAACCCAAATTTTCTGTTTGGAATAACATGTTAAATAAATACCTTCATTATTTAATCTTTTTAAAAGCTCTTCTAAACTATTAGCCACAACACTTTTATCACAGGTCATCAAGGACTGGAATACTTGCTTAATTAACAATTCAGGGTTATCATCTTCATTTTGGATCAAGGAATTAACACTTTCCTTGGATAAAATTTTAGTAAGTTCTGGAAGTTCTGAAAATAAAAATAAAATATAACCCTTTATTAAACATTATTTAAATGATTTCAATGAAACTAAATATGGTAGTTATCGGTGAAAAATGTCATAGATAATACATAATATATTATATAAAATGTAGTGGTAATAGGTGGGCCATGATTGCTTATATGAGCTTGTATAACTGACAAGTCATGGCAAAAATTGTTTCAAATCGCCGCCTTGTACCAGCGAGCTAACTCTTCTTACACTATATTATAGAGTAATAACCTAATGAGATATGCAGAAAGTTGATGGATTTAGGTTACTCAGAACAATGTACTCAGCCTTTTATTGGACTGCATTATGATGAATATAATGTTGAGCACAGAAGCATCATTCTAACGGTATGCCCATCTTGTGGATTTTCTCCTGTATCGTGGGGGCAGTTTACATACATGAATTTCACAAGGACATACATCCAGACTCGGAACAATTATATGTAGGCCATAAAATACTTGTTCCGTGCAGAATTTGAACCCGCGGCCCCAGCCTTGCAACTCATTGCTAAGCAACTGCACCACAGAGCCGTCACATTATTAGTTCTAGGATAGAACAACAACTGTTATTTCCACTGCTCAATATGTCATATTGATTTTAATAAATTTAAATGGCTGTACTTGTACTATCTTAGAAATATTGTAATAGTAATAACTTTATCCATAACATCCATAATGATATTTTACAATTTTGATATTTACTCATTTGTGCATGCATGTTCATTGGTCATGCATAATGTAACATTTTTATGTAATAAATTTGATCAGGGCAAGTGGGCATTTTTTGTCAAATTTTCTCTATTGTAGAAGTAATAGTAGAACTAAGTGGAGAGAGAAACTCTTCAAGAATGTATTCAATACTGTTTCAAATTATAACATCATCATCATCATCATCATCATCATCATCATCACAGCCCTTCACAAGTCCACTGCTGAACATAGGCCTCCCCCAAGGAATGTCACAAAGCACGGTCCTGAGCCACCTGTATCCATTGACTTCCTGCATGTCTCACCAGGTAGTCACTCCATCTAGTGGGGGGTCGCCCTACACTTCGCCTACCAGTACGAGGCTGCCACTCGAGAACCTTTCTTCCCCATCGGTTGTGGATATCCTGATTTCTAAGTTTATCATGCAGAGACACCCCGAGCATAGCCCTCTCCATAGCTCGCTGAGTGACCTTGCGCTTCCTCATACGGCCAGCGGTGAAGGACCACGTCTCAGATCCGTAAGTCATAACTGGCAACATGCACTGGTTGTACAATTTCGTTTTCAGGTTTTAAGGTATGTCTAACGAGAAAATGTGTCATAGTTTCCCGAACGCTGCCCAGCCGAGTTGAATCCGTCGATTGACCTCTCGGTCGAAGTTGGACTTACCTAGTCGGACTATTTGTCCCAGGTAAACATACTCGTCAACAACTTCGAGCTCAGAGCTCCCAACAACTACCAGCATAGGTGTGACATGGACGTTAAACATGATTTTTGTTTTGTCCATGTTTATCTTAAGACCTATCTGTTGGGAGCACTATTGAGGTCATTGAGCAAAGTGCTTAGGTCCTCCAGCGATTCTGCCATAAGGACTATATCGTCGGCAAATCGAAGGTGAGCGATGTACTCGCCATTGATGTTAATACCGCATCCTTTCCAGTGCAGTAGCTTGAAAACGTCTTCCAATGCAGCGGTGAAGAGTTTCGAGGATATAACGTCACCCTGTCTTACACCTCTCTGCAATTGGATAGGTTTCGTACTCTGATTCTGTACTCGGATAGTCATCGTAGCTTTACTGTACAAACACTTCAGCACTTCGATATACCGACAATCAACTTGGCACCGCTGAAGGGACTGCAGCTCCGCCCAAATTTCGACGGAATCAAAGGCTTTCTCATAGTCCACATACGCAAGGCAAAGTGGCAGAATGTGGTCTATGGTACTAAATCCTTTTCGGAAACCGGCTTGTTCGGGAGGCTGGAAGACGTCAAGTCTGCGTGCGAGACGATTCGTAATGACTCTCGAAAACAGCACGTAGACGCGGCTCAGAAGGGAAATCGGTCTGTAGTTCTTCAAGAGAGCGTTGTCGCCTTTCTTGAAAAACAAGACGGTGGTCTTCTGCTCCACGTCTCTGGTGTAACGCCACCATGGAGGACGGAATTAAAGAGCTTCTGAAGGACTTCAAGTACCGGTCTTCCACCCGCTTTCAGAAGCTCCGCTGTAATTCCATCCTCGCCCGGGGACTTGCCGTTTTTAAGGTGCTGGAGAGCCATTCTAATCTCGCTCAGACAGACTTCCGGGATATCTTCGGAATAGTGTCGGATAAGACTCGCTCTTGGATCGTTACTCACACTTGCGTGTGGCTCCAACGATGACGTGTACAGCTACCCATAGAACCTCTCAATCTCACTCAAATTCTCAGGTGTCCCAGAAACGATGCTGCCACACTCGGTCCTCAGCTTTGACAGTTGGCTCTTTCTGGCAGACAGATCTCTGGCAAAAACTTTGGAGCCTTGGTTCCGCTCGATCGCTTCTTCAGTACAAGCTTTATTGAAGTTGCGCAAGTCCCGCCACATGCATTTGGAGATCCGTCTGTTCAGTAGCCTGTATGCTGTCAAATCTGTTGAAGAATGGAGCTTCATCTCCCGTCTAACAGCCATGAGATTAAGAGTGTGATTGGAAAGTTTTTGTTCTTCTGTGGCGGGTCTTGCAGAACTTAGCTCCGACCGCATGGACAGTTTCCACGAGCTTGTCATTCATATCATCCACTTCATTGCAGTCTTCTAGGCACTGAAAACGGTTTTGTAACTCGAGCTGAAAGGTTTCGGGACTTTAGAACAGAGCACAAGGGGGACGGAGCGTTGACTTCATTAGACGAGACCTCTCCAACTTTAGTTAGTCCAATGTTTAGGTTTAGTGTGCCTCTAACCATTCAGTGATCGCTACCAGATTTCACGCTCGCGATCACGGAGACATCACTGAACAGTTGTCGTCTAGTCATCATTATGAAGTCAATCTCATTTTTTGTCGAACTGTCGGGGCTCGACCAGGTCCACTTCCTGTGGGGCCGCTTCTGGAAGAAAGAGTTCATCATAAAGAGTCCCTCTTTCTCCATGAAGTCGGCCTGCTGCTGACCCCTTGGGTTCCATTGCCCTATTCCAAATATCCCTACTTTCAGCTCACCGTTCTCTCTTGTGCCTAGTTTTGCATTGAAGTCTCCTATTAACACCGTATAGTGGGTTTTGGAGGAATGCATGGCTCCTAGAGATATCCTCATACATTTTCTCCACCTCCTCATCGGGATGTGCTGAGGTTGGTGCATAAACCTGTATGACCTTCAGCGAATACCGTTTGGTGATTCTGAGTATAAGGTACGCAACTCTCGTCGACACACTCTCAATCTTTACAACGTTGTTAACAAGAGACTTGTGGACGATAAATCCGACACCTCCTTGGGACAGATGGTCGCCCTTGCGGTGATATGCGTTGTATGTTGCCAGGTCGAGTCGTCTTAGGTGGCATCCGAACCTCCACCGTAGTTTCTCAGCACCCCCTGCCCCACCGTTACCATGGTCGCCACCGTAGCCAGGAATAGCGGGGCCGCCGGGGACTCAAGGCCACCTCTTTGTTGATCTAATCATTGGGGGGTATTTGCCATAGTTGCCAAGCTTGGCAAGCGGGTTGGCAACCAAAGTTTTTTTTTATTGTACTTTTGCGGTTATCAGGAAGATGCTGCTGCCCATCTCCTCCCTGTTTCCCTTCGTCGCCTTTTAAGACACCCACGGGAAGATATGGGGTAGTGGATATTCTTGACCGCCACTACACGGCTAGCTCAAATTATAACAATACAAAACAATCATAAATATACCTAATAATAAAATCTACTAACTTGTTGAATTTTTCAAAAAATAAAAGTCAAAACTAGGTTAGAAATTTTACTAAAAAAATAATTTTTTATGATAATATATAACATAATGCTGGTGTAGAAATTGGAAACAAAACTTACTTTTAAGAAATTCTTTAATCTCTAGAATAGGTCTAAAACCACAAAGGGCTTCAAAATGAGTCAGTGCTATTGCAAGTTCTGGTTTATGATTTGGGTCTTTGTACATATCAGGTAAAGCTGCATGTAACTGCTCTGCATGTTCCTGATGTCATAAAACATACATTTGATATTAATTGAAAAATTATTCAACGAAAAATAAACAAAAGATATTGTTTATTAGATCTTTAAATACCCTACCTTTTTTGGATGTGCTTGTATTGAAAGAGCTTTTTGGATAGATAATATTTTAAGGAGAAAGGGAACAGCAATGCCAAATCTTTTCCTAATTACAGGTCCAATAGCATCAGCATTATCTTTTAAATATTCTGAAAGAAGTATATTTCTTTCTATAATAAGGGAAGGCCCATTTGGATGTGTTCCAATCCATAATTCAGCATACGGCTTCCTTGAATCAATTTTGGCATTAGGATCACTACTAGATAATAATTTCGCAACTGTACTATCTTGACCGAACTTTCCCCAATCATAATTCTGAACTTTGCACTGTAACTCCATGTTAATGGGCTAAAAACAATATATTTAATTCATCTCACACAACGTACGATATTTTTATTAATTCCAATTCAATTTATTTTAGGGATGTCCGATGATAATCGAAGTTAAAAATTATAACATCGATGTTTTAATATCGATGTTGACACATGTCAAACATCGAAACATCGATGACAATGAACCCATAATTGATTATTGTGAACTTGCGAACAATGCGCACCCGCGAAATGAATATCAACTAAATCTTACATCTCTGAATATTTAAAATTATGAGTAATTCAGAATTCCTGAACACATCGCGAACATAAAAAAATATCATTATAGTATTCAAACTTAATTGTCAAGTGTCACCTGTAATGTCACAGTGGTCACTGCTTTCGCTTTATTTTGTAGTATCGTTGTCAGTTGTCGCATAATAACTATTCTACGTAAATTGATATTCAAGATAATTGTTACTTTTTGCCTTGCTGTGTATACCCACATAATTTTGAAACAATATGTAAATACACATATACAAAAACTGAGTGACTTTTGAGTAGGCTAAACATCGAACATCGATGTTGAGTTATCGATGCCAACATCAATGTCATCATCGATGTTGGCATCGATACAACATCGATCATCCCTATTCTATTTCTACACTTTTTGATATATCATGATCATATGTCAAAGTCATAAATCAAAAAGCTGTTTTTTGTTTTAAGATTTTTGGCTTAGACGCTTGTCTTTTTAGCCATGTCTTAATTTCATTTGGGATCTGCGTGTTTTTATAGATTTTTTCTATTTACAATTTATGCTCATGCGTCACATTGCGAAGTTTTTCGGAGATTTTGACAACAGCTTAACCCAGCGGACAGTCGATGACGACAGTCACTTATGTTAATAAGGTGCCTAAGCGATCAAAATAAATTGAGATTTATATCAACATCGAAGCTATGTTTGTTGTTTCGTGGTTTTCTCTAATAGTTCACATGCGCAGATACTTAATGCATAAAATCGCATCACTTTTACGTATCAAAATCCACTTCAGACTATTATTTAAACGATAAAACAGGAGCAACAATCCGTTGAAGATAAAGTAAAAAACATATAAAGTTGTAACAAAAACACCGTTGGTCGTTTCAGCGACGTATATCTGTACACATAGGCATGGCAATTATAATAATGAAATTAATATTTTTTTGGTTGCTTTAAATGGGAATTTAGAGTTTCTAATCAGATAACTTACTAAAGTTAATATTTCTAAAAATATTGTTTGCTTCTGAACTTACCGACACGTGTCGACATCTATGGCAGCTGTGAGGTCCCTTACACGGCCGCCACAAAACGAGCTGCTGTCCGGTGCGAGCATTCCTAAGCTTTTTGTGTAAATCGTTATACCTATCTAGATACAGTTATTACTCCGAAAATTTAAATTTAAAAATAATAGTTTTTAATAATGCGCTTGCAGTTTATGAAAATTACATTTCTCTTCTTGAATACCTAATAATATTTATAATGTTCTTATTTATTTTATGTTTTATAATTTTACAAAATAATTTTACGAAGTCACTTAACGAGAAAAATCATAGTCCCGCTAATTAGATGACGTTTTAGCGAGTTCTAAGTTTCCGAAATTAGATTAGTATGTTGAGATCAAATATACGTTGTTCATTCATTTATTACAATAATAAGGGGGCAATTAGCCATAGTTCCCACTTTTGGCAGGCGGGTTGGCAACCGCAGTTTTTTACTTTGGATCTAGTTGTTGTTAGGACGTCTTCTAGTTTCACTCTGCCGCCTTTTACCACACCCAAGGGATGGTAGTAGATATTCTTTCACCGCCAATACATATTGTTATTGAATACTTATGTTATAACTTTACACTTTATTACTATATAGGTCTGGGGAGAATATTTAAAAGGGGTTGTAATAAATAATGTAATAAGAGCGATTAATGATTAATTTAAAATTGCAATTATTTGTAGGAGAAAGAGCAATGGCAGAAAAATAGTTGACAAAAATTATAGCGTCTAGAAATAAGTTATATATAAAACCTTTTTTTCTGGATGTAATGGAGTAAATACGCATGCCAGCCCTAACCATCTAAGCGCCCCGGACGAGTGATTTCTTTGGCGCCCATTTAAATTCTACTAATGTTATACACATGAAAGTTTATATGGTATGTTAGGATGTATGGATGGATGTTTGGTACTTTCCCACGAAAAAACTACTGAACAAATTTTGATGAAACTTTACAGTAATATAGCTTATACATCATAATAACACACAGGTTATAATTTATAACGATATCATCATCATCATCATTACAGCGCTTCATAAGCCCACTGCTGAACATAGGCCTCCCCCAAGGAATGCCACAAAGCACGGTCCTGAGCCACCTGCATCCATCGACTTCCTGCATATCTTACCAGGTCGTCACTCCATCTAGTGGGCGGTCGCCCTACACTTCGCCTACTGGTACGAGGGTGCCACTCGAGAATTTTTCTTCCCCATCGGTTGTCGGTTCTTCGAGCTATAGGGCTGGCCTATTGCCACTTCAGCTTACTAATCCGTTGGGCTATGCCAGTTACTCTGGTTCTACTGCGGATATCCTCATTTCTAAGTTTATCACGCAGAGAAACCCCGAGCATAGTCCTCTATATAGCTCGCTGAGCGATCTTGAGCATCCTCATACGGCCAGCAGTGAAAGACCACGTCTCAGATCCATAAGTCATCATTGGCAACACGCACTGGTTGTACAATTTCGTTTTCAGGTTTTGAGGTATACCTCACGAGATGATGTGTCGTAGTTTCTCGAACGCTGCCCACCCGAGTCCGTCGATTGACCTCTCGGGCGAAGTTGGACTTACCTAGTCGGACTATTTGTCCCAGGTAAACATACTCGGCAACAACTTTGAGCTTAGTGCTCCCAACAACTACTGGCATAGGTGTGACATGGACATTTAACATGATCTTTGTTTTGTCTATGTACACCTTAAGACTTATCCGTTGGGGGACACTATTGAGGTCATTGAGCCAGGGGCGTAGCTACCGCCGTATCAGCTGTATCAATGATACGGGGCCCCCGGGCTACAGGGGCCCCAAACGTGTGTGCAAAAATTCCAAGGACTTCTATGGGACAGGAAAGGCTATCACTATTGTCTATAGAAGTAAAGAATTTAGTAAAACTGAAATCGTCTTCAGCTATGAATGCAGCCGAATCTTCTTCAGCTGTGTTCGCTGAACAAAAGGCACGAAAAGTGTATATTTGATTTGAATTGTTTGGCTAGCTTAGTTCCTAGGAGTATTAATTGTAAGTAATAACTGAAAAACCCGTGTAGTGGCACGGGTGGCAGTGGAGAAAACTCACTACCCTATATCTTCCCGTGGGTGTCGTAAAAGGCGACAGAGGGAAACTGAGGCAGAGGATGGGCAGCAGCATCTTTCTGATAACAGCAAAACAACAATAAAAAAACTGCGGTTGCCAATCCGCTCGCCAAGCGTGGCAACTATGGCAATATGGGGTATATTGCCATAGTTGCCACGCCATGAAAGTAACGAAGAGATGGCCCCCAGTCCCCGGCGGCCCCGCTATTCCTGGCTACGGTGGCGACCATGGTAACGGCGGGTCAGGAGGTGCTAAGAATCTCCGGTGGAGGTTCTGTTGCCACCTACGACGACTCGACCTGGCAACTTATAACGCACGCACCGTGAGGACTGACGAGAAGATCGTGGAGCTGGAAGAAGAGATTGACAAGTTGCGCTGGAATGTCATAGAATTATCCGAAGTCCGAAGAGAGGGGGAGGACACCTTTAATCCGGCAATTTGTTCTATCACCAGGTGGGCGAACATCTGTCCCAAGGAGGTGTCGGATTTATCGTACACAAGTCTCTTGTTAACAACGTTGTAAAGATTGGGAGTGTGTCGACGAGGGTTGCGTACCTTATACTCAGAATCACCAAACGTTATTCGCTAAAGGTCATACAGGCTTACGCACCAACCTCGGTACACCCCGATGAGGAGGTGGAGAAAATGTATGAGGATATCTCTAGGAGCCATGCATTCCTCCAAAACCCACTATACGGTGTTAATAGGAGACTTCAATGCAAAACTAGGCACAAGAGAGAACGGTGAGCTGAAAGTAGGGGAGTTGAGTCACGTCTAATGAAGTCAACGCTCCGTCCCTCGTGCTCTAATCCAAAGTCCCGAAACCTTTCAGTTCGAGCTACGAAACAGTTTTCAGTACCTAGAAGATTGCAATGCAGTGGACGATATGAATGACAAGCTCGTGGAAACTGTCCATCCGGTCGGAGCTAAGTTTTGCAAGACCCGCCGCAGAAGAACACAAAAAATCTCCAATTACACTCTTGTTCTCATGGCTGTTAGACGGGATATAAAGCTGCAGTCTTCAGTAGATTTGACAGCATACAGGCAACTGAACAGACAGATCTCCAAATGCATACGGTGGGACTTACGCAACTTTAGTACTGCTCGTACGAAAGAAGCGAGCGGAACCAGGACTCAAAAGTCTTTGCTAGAGATCTGTCTGCCAGAAAGAGCCAACTGTCGAAGCTGAAGACTGAGTGCTGCAGCGTCGTTTCCGGGACACCTGAGATTTTGAGTGAAATTGAGAGGTTCTATGGGTAGCTGTACATATCATCCTTGGAGCCACACGTAAGTGTGAGTAACGATCCAAGAGCGAGTTTTATCCGACACTATTCCGATGATATACCGGATGTCAGTCTGAACGAGATTAGAATGGCTCTCCAGCACCTTAAAAAAGGCAAGGCCCCAGGCGAGGATGGAATTACAGCGGAAAGCGGGTGGAAAACCGGTACTTGAAGTCCTCCATGGTGGCATTACACCGGAGGCGTGGAGCAGAAGTGTGGTGGTCTTGTTCTTCAAGAAAGGTGACAACGCTCTCTTGAAAAACTACAGACCGATTTCCTTTCTGAGCCGCGTCTACGTGCTGTTTTCGAGAGTCATTACGAATCAGCTCGCGCGCAGACTTGACGACTTC